AGTCCAAGGATGCCAATACAGCCGGAAAAAAAAAGCGAAAATTTTCCGGAAAACCACGACTTTTCGACCAGCGTCTCGCCTTAAACGAACGGCTCAACAAATTGTCTTTATGATAGTTCGAACAACGAACAATCGTGTTGGACTAAAACAACAAGACGTGCTTCATTTGGTAAAGAGCTTAGTCATCAGCAGACTAACATACTCGCTACCCTACCACAACATGAATAGAGAGGAGAAAGAAAAAGCAGACAAAACAATAAGGATGGCGTTTAAAGTGGCTCTGCGACTACCACAAAGCACTTCAACTGCGAAGCTATTAGCGCTCGAACTTCACAATACATTTGATGAGTTGGCTGAAGCGCAAGTAACCTCCCAGATTAACCGCTTACTACAGACGCCAACCGGCAGAAAACTTCTTCAGAGGATCGGCCTCGGTGAACAAGTACAGGCACATGGAAGAGCTAAGGAATTGTCGTGCTCAGTCAGAGCCTGGTACAAGATATGCCCCCTACCGAAGAACATGGATCCAGTTTTACATGCTGGAAGACGTAAAGCAAGAGCCGCTTACATAGATAAAAAGCCAAAATATTTGAATACGGCGAGATTTACGGACGCTGCATCATATCAGGCAAATGATAAGAACATGGTGGCCGTGGTCACAGACCGAAAAGGAAACGTCACAAGTTGTGCCTCCATAGCCCAAGCCTTTATCACAGAAGCGGAGAAGATGGTGATCGCGCTGGCAATCAAGGAGGGCTGGGAGCGAAAAGCCCCAATGACAATAATCATAGATTCGAAGGCTGCATGTAGGAATTACGAAAAAGGTAGAATATGTATGAAGGCCTTCGAAATTCTAAGCAAAGCTCATAAAGACTTTCCAATTGAATACACCCAAACCATTATCTGGGGGCCAGGGCACGAGGGCGTCACCGGGAACCAGTTTGCGGATGAGGCGGCTCGAGGCTTCACAAATCACAGAGTTTCCTTGCACACTTCAATAGAGGATTCAACGCCCCTAGACCCTAACTTTGGTACAATTCTTCAGTATTACAGGGACAATAGAAAACTGTATCTAGCACCGCATAAGGAACTCACAGCAATGGAATCGGTGGCATTACGCAGAATCAAAACAAACACATACACGAATTTAGACAGGCTACATGTATTCTACCTCACAGCATACAGAGATATATGTCCGTCGTGTGGGGCCACACCAACTCTGTTTCACATCACGTGGGAGTGCACGCATCACAATGAAGAACACCACAACATGAACAACACAGAGGAACAATGGGAGGCACTGCTGTCCAGCTCGGCCATTGTTGATCAGCGCTGGCTGGTCCAACGGGTAGAGATGATGGCTAGGGCCAGCGGAGCCCTGGAATAGGGGCCCGACCATTCAAAATGTGCCGCGTTATGCGCAAATAAAGTTTTCTCTCTCTCTCTTGCCCATGCCATCCCTCTCTGCTTATCCAGCACTTTCGTTGGGACGAGAGAATGCAATCGCAGTGTGCGACAAATCTTTGTAGCTCCGCTCGTACTTGACAGATTCTTAAAATTTTTGTGGTGTTGAATTTGTGAGGTAATAAGCTTTTTTAGTGAATCCATTCTATGGTTAGTTGTAAAGGTGTTTCAGGGCCCCTTTAACACTTGGAATATTTTTGCATGCAACTTTTCGCGTAACATAGAGTAGGCTTTTGATATGATTGGTAGTGTTGCAGCAGTAAAACAAAAAAAAAGACAAATTTTCTCTATCTAATTTTAGCATGCTTCTTAAAGGATGCTTAGATTGCTCAGAGTTCACAGGCGGGGAAGTGGTTTCTATGTCATCATTACTATCTTTCCTACTGGCACACACTCCTCCTCGCTAGTACTCACGTCTTCAAAAAATATGTGGACAGTGTCAGCGCTAGCATTAATCTTATCAGTCTTTTGCAATTTTTCAGCTGTGCTTTCTTACCTCTGCTTGCACAGTCAAAAATGCACAAAACGAAGGGAAATAAGTTGATTGTGCGCGATAGTCAGGTTATAATGTCAGTAAATTTAGCGCAACTCGCAAGTCCCCAGAAACACTCGCGGCATTCACGCACTTTTTACATGAGAAGCACACACTACACATGGCGCTCAGCGCTATACAGTTAAACCTCGTTACAACGAGATGGGCTATAACGAAATAATGGATATAACGAGCAAATCCTAATTCCCCTTGAAAGTTCCCATACAAACCAATGTATTCAAAACCTCGTTTTGACGAGGCAAATTTGCCTGTTATGGGATATAACGAACAAATTTTGTTAGGAAGTAAAATTTTGAGCCGATGTCACGACAGTTCACAACGCGAATTTGAAACGGCGCGCAACGCGAGAACTGTATTTAGCAGTTCAAAACTCCCGCCGCGCGCCCTGCGGCAACGCGTGCAAAGCAGATGGCACACGCTGTTTCCGGAGAAGAGGTCGCTGCACGTGCGACACTTGGCTACCACCGACAGCGGAGCGCTCCGCGAACATCTCGCCCTTTTCTTTTGTGTCTTCTTTATATTCTCCCTCTCCCCTTTCTCATGGCGCTGAGGCGCGCTTCTTAATCTTACATACCCCCTTCCCCTTGAGTAACCGGTTCCTAGAGGGCAGCGCAAAAGAGTGCCCCTTCTGCCTCTATCTCTTCACAGTCACTTTTTCTACAAGTGTTGTCGCTCGCCGACGTGAGCCGCGTTGCTTTTGCGTGCGTGTTTCTTCTCTTTTTCGACCGCTTCCGCCTTATCTTTTATCATGCTGCGCTCGTGATTCCAGCAACATGAATGCGCCAGGCGGGAAGCGAAAGCGCATAACGCTAGATCAGAAGGCGGCTATGATAAGAGCCGTCGAATCGGGGACCAAGAAAGGCAACGTGGCAAGAGACTTTGGCGTATCGACGAGCACACTGTCAACTATCTTGAGCAAGCAGGAGTCCATCATCGACGCTGTTGCACGTGGCGTGAAAGGAAGCGCTAAGAGGATGAGGGCACCTGTTTTTGAAGCGGTCGAAAGGGCCGTTTTCAAATGGTTCTTGGACACGCGGGCCGTGAATCTGCCGGTGAGCGGCACCTTGCTGCAAAGAAAAGCGAGAGACTTTGCCTGCATCATGTGCTATGACAACTTCGTAGCAAGTTCGGGTTGTCTCCAACGCTTCAAGGAGCGCCACGACATTGTCGGGAGAGCGGTCTGTGGCGAATCGCAATCTGTCGACGAAGCAGAGGCTACCAAGTGGGCGAAAGAAAACATCGTGCAGCAGCTAGAAAAATACAGTGCGAAGGATATTTTTAATGCGGACGAAACCGCTCTCTTTTTCAAGATGTTGCCGCACAAGACGTTAGCCCTCAAAGGCGAGCCGTGCCATGGCGGCAAACAAAGTAAGCTGGCGATCACTGCGCTACTTTGTGCAAACATGGCCGGCTCTGAGAAGCTGCCAATTTTCGTAATTGGCAAAAGTGCATCCCCTCGCTGCTTTAAGCGGAAGAGGCAGCTCCCAGTCAAGTACGTAGCCAATCGCAAAGCCTGGATGACCAGGGAGATTTTTTCAAAATGGCTTTGCGAATGGGACGGGAAGCTGGCAAAGGCGAACCGCAAGGTGTGCCTTGTTTTAGATAACTGCACCGCCCACCATACCGCTGCCATGCTTCAAAACATCGTGCTGCTGTTCCTTCCTGCCAACTGCACAGCAAAAATACAGCCGCTTGACCAAGGCGTGATTATGTCGGTGAAGGCAGGTTACCGCAAGCGTGTGATAGACAAGCTCCTGCTCAACATGAGGATGAAGCGAGACACCAATGTTAACTTGTACGCTGCGCTCGAAATGCTTCAGGCGGCGTGGATGAGTGTGACGGCGACCACGATCGCAAACTGCTTTTGACACGCCTCATTTGCCGCCGCACCAGACGCCTGCAGTGAGCCATCAGACGAGCCCACTGTGCCGGATGGTTTTGCCACATCAGACGAAGTCGCTGCATCATGGACGGCAGTTCGTGATGCCGGTGTCGTGCCTGACAGCGAGCCGTTTTGCGACTATGTGAGTGTGGACTTGGAAGTGGTGGCAACGGAGCAGTTCCTGCATGACGATATTGTGCGCGCTGTCAGTGATCGTAACGAAACCAGTGACGATGACTCTGTCAACGAACAGGAGACAAACGTGCCGACGGCGTAGGATGCATTAGACGCGGTGGACGTAGTGCGCCGCTACTTTGGCGCTCACGAGGGCGGCGAAGATGGCTTGAAGCTGAGCGAGCCATCGTTCGCATCAGGAAGATGCATCAACGTCCAATTACGGACTTCTTTGCAGCTAAGTCTGCCTGAAATGCAAGCTGTGTATTTTGAAGTGCATTAAAACAGGTGCATGACTTTTGTTGCATTGTTGTTATTTTGTTGCATACCACCGTGCGGCGGGATGCTATTTCGCCCGCTAATATTTGCGGTAAATGCCCGCTACAGCTATAACGAAATATTGGTTATAACGAGCAAATAGCGGCGGCCCTCCAATTTCGTTATAACGAGGTTTAACTGTACAGCTATAACGAAATATTGGTTATAACGAGCAAATAGCGGCGGCCCTCCAATTTCGTTATAACGAGGTTTAACTGTATTAACTTAAATTATGACAAACTACCCACTAGCCCAACAAAAAGCTTTAATGAGATAGTCAGGTTAGACAGGGCAGAAGAGTGTGTGACTGCATGGCAAAGCAGGTTGGGAGACAATTTACCACTGATATCTCTCACATATCGATTAATCGAGACCTTATTTCGTCACAATCTCGCTCGAACGTACCGTGGCATCACGAATTGTGCGATATGGCGAGAAACACCAGGACAGAATAACGCACTTGTGCTTTATATTTTCAGAAGTTATTCAGGGTCATGATGTTTTGCTTGTGATTAAAGGTTTGTTCATTAGTTTATCATTTGATGTCACAGTAAATACTCTGTTTCACTTGTTGATCTGCAGCAATCAATCGTTCATGTATCATTTCAGGTTGATCGGTTGGGGCCAGATTCGACGAGGCGTCACTGTGAAACCAACATCACAAGAGTGAGGTTCAAAGACAAAAGCATCAGTTTAATATCAAGTTTATTTTTTTTCTTTGTTCACAAATAAATATGACGAAAATGATCACTATTATCTACAGTAGAACACTGCACGAAGCTTTTTTTTTTTTTAAGTTTCACTTAACAAGAAAATAGGTTATCATCAAAAATATAGTGCAGAAAAACCTGCACAAGAACTACATGTAGACATGGACACAGTGCTGACTTTGGACTGAAATTTTATTAGTAAGAGACAAGTGTTGTAAATGCAAAAAAAAACCCTTATATGACAACTGTTGTTGCAAAATGTTTGCACCTAATTGAACTAAGCATTTTTTTCCCTCCGTTTTTTTCCTTAATGAGCAAAGTAGATGCTACACTGATTGCAGGACTGTGCTGTGTCCATACCTACACATTCTTGTGCTTTTTTTTGTCTGTATTCTTAATCATGCTAAACCAGTTATCCAAATCTTCAACCTTGCTCACAAAAGTAGATAACAATAGAAGGCCTAAAAATGGGGCACAAACTAGGCAAGTTGAGTTGAAGCCCCTTACTGCAGATTCTTGTTTGAGACATAAACCTCACAATTTTTTACTGCTCTAAAAGCAGCTGTAACTAACAAATATGGCCGGCACACACGAAGAAGCACCGTCTGCATTGTCGTGGTTTAAAGATGGCAGTGACATCGCAAAGGCAGTACAGTGCATGCATTACAGCATTCCCAATACATGCACTTTGAAGCAGGTTTCTTGCTGAAGCAGCAGTGCCGTGCTCAAAAGCTTGCTACTGAACATTCAGGTAGAGTTCTTGAGTGCTTCTGCTCAAGCTATGTGGACCTCTACGAGCGCTCAATAGAACAGGCAGATATGCTTGAAGGCTGCTATGAAATTGCATTGTTTATATGCACCATCCTTCATTGCAGCATTTGCCATGGCAGCTTGACACCCGAGGTTCTGAGTTGTTTAGCTCGGGGGTACACTTTAGACTATTGGACTGGGGTGGCCTCATTTTGATGAAGGTCAAACTCATAAATTCTCTAATCATTACTGCCTGCTGCTTTCAGTACCAGGTAAGAAAACCCATGTTTTCATAAATAATGCAAAGGGGCCCATACAACATGTCCCGTAATTCATTTGGAGTTTTGGTACATGAATTGTTTCAGTTAGGTGTAGCTTTAGGTAAACACGGGAGTTTATAAAAATGTCAACTGGGCCACACACCTTCAAAAAAAAAACTTTATGCAACGATGTGCTCCTGAATGTTCATTGTGCTAAAGAAAATACGCACAGAATGCAACTGTGCAGTTTTGTAGTTTATTTCGGGACAAGTGCACACCGGGTACAATTATATTTTGCAAGAGGTACCAATATAAAGCTTATATCAGTCCTATTGTAAGATTCGTCCATGTCATGTACATTGTAAAAGATGGAGCTACATAAAATATACACAAGAAGTGGGTCAATACTAAATGCTTTTTTATGTGAGTGTGCCCAGTCTGCAAAAACTTAAACTTGAATATGTAGAAGCAAGTATTCGCTGCACATAAAGAGACAAACAATAATGTTTGCCATTGCTTGATGGAAAATAACGGGGCAACATAATATAATGCCCCGGTATAGCAGCTTCATAAATGATGCGTACTTGAACACATATATTTCACCAAGATATGAAGTGCACAAGAAAGAAGTTCTACAATTGTTTCTGGGTAGAGCTCACACGAAATTCAACGTGGCCTGACACAACATTGGTGCATGTTATCTCTTCATGGTTTGCAAGAAAACAAAAAAGAAAAAAACATTTTTTCACTGCAATTTGAATACAACACCAAAACATTACTAGTCGGCGGCTGACTGATCTATGAACTCTTTCATCAACTCGAAATCAATTGGCTAAGCTAGTGGTGATCAGAACCATTACATGGCCACCCAGAAAGCATAATAAATGTTGTAACACAGCTGAGAATACTTGGCCAGATCTGCTGTTCTTGATGGGGCATCATTGCATTTGGATTACGAAGGCACATGTTTCTCAGCCAAGTTTTGGGCGTGCATATGGTAGGGATTTCAGAAAGATGTCTCTCGCTTTTCCACTTGCTAGTGTTTTTTCTTCTGCTTGTATATTTGTTAGCTTGGTGTATATATGTAGTTTGTGTCGATGTGGTCGAGGTGTTTTTTGATAATCTTTTTATACTAGGAGGAGTACTCTTCAGTGAATGAAAGTTTGGTTTCTCTTGGATACTCGTGCTTTATACAGTTTGAAAATTTCTATATTTGAACACTGCTAAGCAAGCAATGATCAGCGTCAAGTGCTACATACAAGTCATATTGGGGTAGCCAGGGCTTAACTTGCCCTTGTTTCTTGCCCAGAATGTCTTCGGTGACTACAGATTCTTTTTGCTTGAAAAACTGCCTCTATAAAGCTTGGCCATCAGCTGTTGCACTGCATCCTTGATTTCTTGAACCTTCGGGTTGGTACTACGCTGTAAGAAGTACAAAGCAGGTTAAAAATAATAATAAGCAGCGGGCACTCGTGCGCCCATATAAGCTGATTGTTGAAATGTAAACCATTTAGAAGATGGCAGTGGGGTTACTGAAATGCCAATGCTTCATTAGAAATACTTTAGCAGTGTTTTGGTTTCACTTTACATGCTTATACGTAAAATGTAGGTTCCTGTTTCATGCTGCTATTCTGAGCACTGCTGTTCTGTGCAGCAAGGCTTTTAAGCTTATGCAGCAGGAGAGATTAACGAAGTACTGACCAAACATTCTGAAGGCGAGATAACTTGTGAGATAAACTTGTGTAGGACAAACACGCATCATGTACAAAAATACCAGCAGCTAAAACAGCCTAGAATGTATGCGTCCGCCTTGGTGGATCAATGGCTAAGGTGTCCGGCTGCGAAGGTTGCGAGATCGGTCCCGCCCAATAGGGTCGCATTTAGATGGAGGCAAAACGGTAGAGGACCGTGTACTTTGCCATGTCAATGCACGGTAAAGAACATCAGATGGTCGAAATTTCCACAGACCTCTACATCAGTGTCTCGATACCTTAATTTTTGGATGTATATCCCTGCATATTTATTTATCATCATTAGCCTAAGATGTATTTAAGTTCAATTTTAAAGTTCATGTTGTTCTAGTGTTCATGAACAGCCTCACCTCACGACTTACCACAAAGTTGAGTAACAAACGACAACCCACAGACATCGCGGGTTTTGTGCTGACTGCCTAAGTCCTAGCAGACCTTTTCAACAAAAAGAGGGAACACCTCTTTTATGAGCCTGCACAGGAGATCACAAGCTGAATCCTTGTTTCCCTAGTGCATTTTCAGGGTGTCATGCCTACTTATCAGATCCCATAGTTACTGCAGCACCCACTGAGACTTTGTTGAAAAGACTTGCCAACATGGTGCTCATGCAAACATAAATGCATTAAAAAAATTTTTTTGTGCTCACATAACCAGTTATGCTTACATGAATACAATTCTGGATCCTGCCTTTATCTCTTCTCTTTGAAACTTGAGGAGCTCCTTAAGCATGTTTGCAAGTAACCTTGGAATAAACTGACTAAAGGAGCTTATTGTCTCACGAATTGACTGCTGCATAAATTTTTACAATTTGTGCAGTACGAGCGGGGTTATAAAAACTTGTTGCATGCTGCAATAGCCCTCTCTCTTCTCTCGTCCCGACAAGCACTGGAAGCTAAGCAGGGAAAAAAGGCGCGGGGGAAGAAGGTTCTTCATGCATGCCTCGCAACATTGAGCACTTCTGCTGTTTATTTATTTTCATTTTTTTCAGGCGTACTACTTTTCAGTGCAGTCGCATACGCAGACACATTGCAGCCTTCCAGGGCGGCCCCGGTAACTCCAGAGCATGCCTGCTCAAATCAGCCAATGGTGTGATACTTGGGCCTATGACCCAATGATTTTTTTAGTATGAAATCACTTGTCGAGAGAAGGGAAAGCAATGTTGGCTGAGTTTGAGAACTTATTCTGATTTCGAGCCCGCGTGCTGCACCATATTATTTGGCTCACGTTTTCTCGGTAGCCTCAGCTATTCTATGGCAGCGTATAGTGATCCTGCTCAAAAAGTGTTGCAAGGCCCTTTTAAACTGCGACTTGTTTGTATGCACCTCCCACATGCATACGTCAAATAACTCACGGCCCTCAGTCCCCAGCAGCTGCGAAGCAACTTACCACGGCGGCGGTCAGATCTGCAATGCAGCAGAGGGTGCTAAGAATCTCTGGATCCGGAATGGCCGCCATTGGAACCTGAACTTGGCAACATTTAACGCTAGAACCTTATCTAGTGAGGGAAGTCTAGCTGTACTATTCGAGGAGCTAGAGGGTGTTAAATGGGATATAAGAGGGCTCAGTGAGGTTAGGAGGACAGATGAGGCCTATACTGTGCTACAGAATGGGCACGTCCTTTGCTATCGGGGCTTGGCAGACAGAAGAGATCTGGGAGTGGGGTTCCTAATTCACAGAAACATAGCTGGCAACATAGAGGAATACTGTAGCATTAATGAAAGGGTGGTAGGTATTGTAATTAAACTGAATAAAAGATACAAGATGAAGGTAGTACAGGCTTACGCGCCTACATCCAGCCATGATGACGCTTCAGTTGAAAGCTTCTATGAAGACGTGGAATCGGCTATGAGTAAGGTAAAAACACAGTATACTATAGTGATGGGCGACTTTAATGCAAAGGTAGGGAAGAAGCAGGCTGGAGACCAGGCAGTAGGAGATTATGGCATCGGCACTAGAAACGCCAGAGGAGAGCTACTAGTAGAATTCGCAGAACGCAAAAATTTGCGGATTTTGAATACCTTCTACCGAAAACGATAGAACCGCAAGTGGACATGGGGGAGCCCTAATGGCAAAAATAAGAACGAAATAGACTTTATAATGACTGCTCACCCAGGAATCGTGAAGGATGTGGAAGTGGTTGGCAAGGTACGATGCAGTGACCATAGAATGGTACGGTCTCGAATTCGCCTAGACTTGAAGAAGGAACGACAGAAACTGATACGCAAGAAGCCAATCAATGAGCTAGCACTGAGAGGGAAAGTGCAGGAATTCGGGGTGTCGCTGCAGAGCAGGTACTC